ATCACAAGTAAAGAGATTGAAACAGTAATCAAAAACATCCCAAAGAATAAAAGCCCAGGACCAGATGGCTTCCCAGGGGAATTCTACCAAACTTTCATAGAGGACTTAATACTATCCTTCTCAAGCTATTCCAAAAAATTAGAAAAGATGGAATGTTCCTAACACATTTTATGAGGTCAACGTCACTCTGATACCAAAGCCTGACAAGGACAATACAAAAAAGGAAAACTACAGGCCAATATCACTGATGAACATAGATGCAAACATCCTCAACAAAATATTGGCAACCTGAAAAAAGCAATACATCAAAAAGATCATATGTCATGATCAAGCGAGATTTATCCCAGGGACACAGGGATGGTTCAACATCCGCAAATCAATCAATGCAATGCACCACATTAACAAAATGAGGAATAAAAACCACATGATCATCTCAGTAGATGCAGAGAAAGCATTTGACAAGATCCAACAGCCATTTATGATAAAAACTCTTAAGAAAATTGGGATAGAAGGAAATTACCTCAACACAAAAAAGGCCATTGATGACAAACCCATAGCCAACATCATACTCAAAGGGGAAAAACTGAATGCCATCCCTCCGAGAACAGGAACAAGACAAGGAGGCCAATTACCACCACTCTTAATCAACATAATACTGGAGGTTTTGGCCAGAGCAATTAGGCAAGAGAAAGGAATAAAAGGAATCCAAATAGGGAGCGAAGAAGTGAAACTCTTGCTGTTTGCAGATGACATGATCTTATATATAGAAAACCCTAAAAAATCCATCAGAAAATGATTAGAAATAATTAACAACTACAGTAAAGTTGCAGGGTACAGAATCAACTTACAAAAATCAGTTGCATTTCTATACTCTAATAACAAACTTACAGAAAGAGAACTCAAGAATATGATTCCACTTACAATCACAAAAAAAGGATAATACAATGAAAACTATAAGACATTATTGAAAGAAATAGGTAATGACATGAAGAGATGGAAGGTGATTCCATGCACATGGATTGGAAGAATAAACACAGTTAAAATGTCCATACTACCCAAAGCAATCTACAGATTCAATGCAATCCCAATCAGAATTCCAATGACATTCTTCATGGATATAGAACAAAGAATCCTAAAATTCATATGGGCCAATCAAAGACCTCAAATTCCTAAAGCAACACTGAAAAAAAAGAACAAAGTTGGAGGGAGGCATCACAATCCCTGACTTCTAAATGTACTACAAAGCCATAGTGATCAAAACAGCATGGTACTGGTACAAAAACAGACACAAAGATCAATGTAACAGAACTGAAAGCCCAGAAATAAAACCACACATCTACGGACAGCTAATCTTTGACAAAGGTGCCAAGAACATACAAGGGAGAAAAGACAGTCTCTTCAATAAATGGTGTTGGAAAAACTGAACAGCCACACGCAAAGAATGAAAATAAACCATTATCACATGCCATATACAAAAATAAACTCAAAATTGATCAAAGACTTGAAGATAAGTCCTGAAACCATAAAACACCTGGAAGATAATATAGGTAGTACACTCTGACATTGAAATTAAAATGATCTTTTCAAATATCATGTCTTCTCAGACAAGGGAAACAAAAGAAAAAATAAACAAGTGGGACTCCATCAGACTAAAGAGCTTCTGCAAGGCAAAAGAAACTAGGATCAAAACAAAAAGACAACCCACCAACTGGGAGAAAATAATTGCAAATCATATATCTGATACGGGGTGGTTAACCTCCATAATATATAAGGAACTCACATAACTGAATAACAAAAAAACAAACAGCCCAGCAGAAAATGGGCAGAGGATATGAACATTTTTGCAAAAAAGATATACAGATGCCTATAAACACATGAAAAGATGTGCGACATCACTACTCATCAGGAAACTGAAAATCAAAACTACACTAAGATATCACCTTATGCCTATTAAAACGGCTATTATCACTAAGACTAAAAATAACAAATGTTGGAGAGGGTGTGCGGAAAGGGAACCCTCATACACTGCTGGTGGGAATGCAAACTGGTGCAGCCACTATGGAAAACAGGATGGAGATTCCTCAAAAAACTAAAAATAGAACTACCATATGACCCAGCTATCCCACTGCTGGGTATCTACCCAAACAACGTAAAATCATCAACAATCCAAAGTAACATATGTACCCTTATGTTCATTGCATCACTATTCACAATAGCTAAGACACGGAAACAATCCAAGTGCCCATCAACTGATGATTGGATAAAGGAGACGTGGTACATATATACAATGGAATACTACTCAGCCATAAAAAAAGAAAAATCATCCTACTTGCAACAACATGGATGGACCTAGAGGGAATTATACTAAGTGAAATAAGCTAGACTAAGAAAGACAAACACCACATGATTTCACTCATGTGTGGAATATAAACAAACACACGGACAAAGAGAACAGTTCAGTGGTTACCAGGGGAAGGGGGGTAGGGGATGAGCACAAGGGGTGAAGAGGAGCACTTACGTGGTGACAGAGAAGAAATAATGTACCACTGAAATTTCACAATGATGTAAACTATTATGAACTCAATTAGAAAAATAAAATAAGAAAAAATGTGGAATACCTTCCTTTTACACCAATGCTGTAGTTTTGGTGTGAAATTACAATGCTGTATGCAATGAGTTGGAAGTATGAGGGGAAAAAGATCTGGAATTTGTGAGGGAAAAATCCCTCACAAATTCTCTCCTTGCATTTTTTCCCTGGTACTTACTCCAGTGTTATTATCATGATGCCCTGCAGCTGGATGACTGTTGAGGGGAATAAAGCTTAAAATATTTGGTAAACCAAGCAATATGATGGCAAATCAATTGGAAATGGAGGTTCATGTAACTCCATTTTATCCTGAAATCTCTCTGCCCATTGACTCAAAGTTTCTGATATTCTGAAATAATAAAAATGAGAAATAGATTGGAGTCCAAAAACAAAGAAAGAGAAATGCAATTATGTAATTGCCTAAGCATATCTGTTTCTTTGCTTTTGACCTGTGTGTGTATGTATGTGGGTGTGTTGTTTACCTCAATAGCCATCAGCCATGGCGCTTCTTTTTGGGAAGAGAAACCTACATTTCATTTGGGAAATCACCCTTATCCCATCATTAGTCATATGATTTGGGTTTGGATTGATGCCATCTGCATCTCCAAGGGAGTGCTCTGAGTGGCTTAACATAATAATATATGTTAAAATATTCCACACCCTGGGTAATAAGTAATAAATATGTTCCACACTCTGGGAAATAGACATTGGTTCAGAAATGGACACGTGACTCAGAGCTAATGTAATAATAGGAGAAACTTGCTGTGGCTCTTAGGAAAGAAATAGGAATTTTCTCTTCTATTGGACTTGATGTGATATGAAAATGAGAAGGTTTAGACTGCAGCAGCTATCTTGATAAAACAGAGGCTACTAGCCAGTAAGGGACATAGAGAAAGACAGATCTGAGATATATAAAGACTTGTCTGTAATGATCCTGCTTGAACATCACTGCCACACCACACTGAAGTGAAATCTCTCTGATATTTTGGAGTTATGTACGCCGATACATATGCTCATTTTTGTGTCAGCCAGTTAGAATAATGTTTCATGTCACTGGGAATTGAAAGTGTGCTAATAGCTAAAAAGGAGGAGTGTATTGAAATATTTTCACTGGGAGCTGAAAGCATACCAATAGTTACAAAGGCAGAGGATATTGAAGTATTTTTACACGTCGAGCACTGTCGTAGGCTTTGATGATATAGAGGGGTCATGATCCCTTCCTTCATGGAGCTTACAGTTTAACAAGGAAAATAGACAAGTACATCAACAATTAAACATAATGCCAATGGAGCTTACAGTTTAATAAGGAAAACAGACAAGTACATCAACAATTAAACATAATGCCAATGTGCTAAGTGTAAGATAGGGCTATGCCTCAGGTAAATAGAAGTAATGAGGCAGGGCACTGATATAATGGAGCCTAACCTGTGATTTTTTTTTTCAGTCTTTGGGAAATGTGCTTGATCTCTACGACTTATGAGTGAAAAGCAAATATTGAGTATCTTTTTTTTCCCGTAAGAACAATTTTCTTTTATAAGCAATTCTTTTTCCTTAGAAGAAGTGAAAGCTTTTTACTCAATTCATGTAACACCACTTCAATTACTGAAAATTTAAAAGTGAAAGCTTTCCCTCTTAGTTAATGCATAATAGTTTTATAGACAAGTGGTTTTCAAATTTTGCTGCATAATTTAATCAAATTAGGATTTTTAAAAAATCCTGATGATCAAGCTATGTCCAGATACCAATAAAATCATAATTTCTGGGAATGGATCCAAGGCATTAGTATATTTTTATGAATTCTCCAGGTAATTGCAATGTGCAGCCAAGTTTGACAACCAATATTACACCTAAGTGCTTCTTAAAATTTGATGTGCATACAAATCACCTGGGGATATTGTTAAAATGTAAATTCTGCTTCCATTGGTCTGGGATGGGGTCTGAGAGCCCGCACTGATAACTATCTCACACATGATGCCAGTGCTACTTTGAGTAGCAAGGTTATAAACCAGTGCTATCCAAAGAAATACAAGGCATGTCACATGTGCAATTTTCCAGTAGCCACATTAAAAGCATAAAACAAAACAGTTGAAATTAATTTTACTAATGTATTTTATTTAACTAAATTTATCAACAATATTATCATTTTATAATGCATTCAATATAAAATTATTAATGAAATAATTTACATTCTTTTTTTGGGTAAGACTTCAAATCCAGTGGTTATTTTACACTTATAACATATCTCAAATTTGACCACTCATGTTTCAACTGATCGATAGCCACATGTGGCCAGAGGCCACCATATTGGACAGCAGAGTTATAGGCCACTGGATTCCATAAATCTACATCGTGAAAATACCAGACTACATTACACCAATTTTTCAAGGAAAATTTGAAAGCATGTATTACTTACCAATAAGTTTCCAATTAATATGACCATCATGTAAAAAGGAATACAGCTGAAATGGCCTGCTACCTTAAAACAATCCCATAAAGTCTCTATCCACTCTCCACAGAGAATTCGGAACACATTCAAGAAGGAGTGGAAGAAGTCATGCATGTGCCATCGTGGGAGTTGACAGTCTTTGTCTATTTTGCAGACACATTCTTTGTAGCTTAAACCAAACAGCTCCAGGCCAACCACAGCAGAAAAGAACATAAATGTGAACAACAGCAGGACCAAGTCTTTCAGGGCCTCCAGTGAGTTACTAAGAGTCAACATCAGAATGTTAAATGTCGTCCAATATTTCCCCAATTTGAAAATTCGCAACTAATAGAGCAATGTAAAAAACAAGAATAAGAAACAAACAAGAAAAAACCTGGTCACTATTTATCATGATGCACATTTAAAATTTTTATCAGCATTATACAGATACACATATATAGTCTTTTACGTAGTATTCAGTTTTTAGCATTATTAATAGTAACCTCTGAAAATTCATTTTAGGTACAAAAAAATTCTTAATACATCATGCATATTCTATAGCATTTTATACTAAATCCATACATAGCCTCTTCTATTGATCTGTCAATTTCCATTCAATATTATACTATTATAATTACTCTAGTTTTATGTTTTAACATCTTGTAGGGCAACTATCCATTCTTTCCTTTGCTTGTCACAATACATGGGCTGTTCTCCCACATTCTGACATAGAGATGATATTGAAAAATTGTGTGAGGTTCCACTGAATTCCATTGAAGGTCCTATTGTGTATTTCCCTTTTAAAGTAACATATTAAAGACCAAACACAACATTCTAGGTGTAGTCTGAATATTTCCCTTCTTTTCATTAGATTTTTTATTTCTATTGACATAGCATAAGATTACCTTAACATATTTGGCTACCATATCTCAGTGAACTTAGTCATTTAAAACCCATACATTGTTTTTATATGTGCTATACCTTTCCCAGTTTTTTATAATACTTAGTTGGCTTTCTGGACTCATGAGTAGGACCTTACATTTAGTCAGGTAAAACTTAATCATCTTAGACTCAGGCCATTACTAGCTTTTCAAATATTCTTTTATACTCTCTTTTATCACACTTTCTGTATTTCCCAGTCTGTTTCATTCATAAATTTGATAACTACATCTTGCATATATTTCTCTTACTCATTAAAAATGTTTATGGATGAGGATTTAAGACAGGGTTCTGAAGGATTATTTACATAAGATCAAATCTACTTAACTGTTCTTGATTCCTGCTACATTCCTTCAACTTGTTACTAGAATGTGGCAATATATTATATATCAAATGTTTAACATTTCCATAAATACCATTCTAATAACAATATTTCTTTGCCTAGTTTTCTGATATTTATCATCACCCTACATTGCAGATATATACTGATTCTGACAATAATTTTCATAATAATATTCTGATGGCCTGATTATTCTTTTACAAAGTTTTCTACCCTACATGTAGAAATACTCGCCTGATTCCAGTTCCTCAGTTACACACTGGTATTCAGCTTCTGACACTCTCCATTATCCTGCCTCTCAAAACTTACCCAGTAACCCTGGCCCTGCTTCCTAGAACTATATCTCAAGGGTGCTGCATATATGGCCATTTCCTTTAATGCTTGGGTCAAATAACAGCACTGGTGACTGCTTACTCTTTGCTGGGGGCACTTTCTAAGCTCTCTATATACAAATTAATTCATTTAATACTCCCAATGTCCCATAGGGGTAGGTATTACTATTCTTTCCATTTTATGTCTGAAGAAACTAAGATAAAATTTCATCAAATAAAATTTAGGTCTTGGATTCTACTTACCACCCTGAATGATCGCAAAAGAGCCATTCCATGAATATTCGTTAGATAAAGTTCTGCTAAACCATGAAACACAATTAGGCAATCATAAATGTTCCAACCTACTTGGAAATACCCATATGGATGCATGGCAATTATTTTAAAAATCATTTCTGCTGTGAAAATTCCAAGAAAAACCTAAATAAAAACAAAACATGTGGATGAGAATATGATTCCAGTAGCTCCTTCAGAACCTCATACACAGAAACTGAAACTTCTCACTGCCACATTCTTCACAGTTCTTCTGTCAAGATCGGATTAGTTCTGGCGTCTGTATTACAAGGAAAGACTCATACACGTTATATAACAATCCAATGTCAAACTCTCTACACAGAATCTTCAATTATTTTAATCAAAGCCATCCTGGAAGAAAACGAAAGAATATTGGAGGGTGAAAATCTTTCCATTTTGAAGTTCCTTTTGGGATATGGAGTACATGTTACAACATTTAATTTTTTTAACTATAAAAAAATTTTTTAAGTACTTATAAGATCCGGAAAAAAAAAGCAAAGTAAACCTATGAAAACTGTCTTTTAAAAACCGTAAAATTATCAGAAATAACTAAATTACTGTTTTGGTATCAAGTAAATGTATAATTCAAAACTGGTTAGCAGTTTGGCTGTTTATATTCATACTAAGCAACCAAACAACAACAACAATAAAAGCAAATAAAGTTAAACAATATAGATTTGCTTGAATGTGACTTATTTTTAAGCTCCAGAAATCTGTTCTGTCTTCTGCACTGTACATGAAAAAAGGATAGGCAACTCTCAAAAATACCTTGCCAAAATGATAAACTCCAATCTAAGGCAAAGACACGTGGTTAGAGAGATGGGGTCAGGTGCAGCTGTAGTTGGGATTCAGAATTCAGGTGTCAGTGAAGAACTTATGTCTCTTATTTCACCTCTGCCCTACTCTGATCCAGGGGCTGTGGTACCAAGAGAGGGTAGATTTGGGAAGGGAGAGGAAATAAATAATTCCACTTAAACTGACTGCCAAGAAACCTGAGGAATCCCAAATTTAAATAGCAGAATTTTAAACTCTAGCTATAAACCTATTCAGTCATAAGAAGGTTTACAAGCAGGGCTGGGGGCAGTGGAGCGGGGAAGCATGAACACAATACTTCATTCAATACTCTCACAATGCATTTGAAACATCCTGGAGTTACAAAGTAAAATAATGCAGATGTGACAACTAAAGAAAAGTTGAAATTGAAAATGAACATAATGTACAATAATAGCCTTACCAGGTTTCCAATGCTGAGAACACTGATGGTTTCTTCACTCATTGGATAATGTTCCAAGGCCAAAAAATACATGTTTAGAATTATGCATATGGTAAGGATAAGATCAGTAAATGGGTCCATTATAATCATATGGACAAACTCTTTCAATTTTAACCAACAGGGAGAACAATTCCAGATCAAAAAAGTTTGAGCAAATCTATACCAACACAATGAACATCCTTTCCTGGATTTTTTAAGTTCTGAAACAAAAGAATAGAAAAGTTAAACATTAGCAAATTGGTTAAGTTCTACCTAACAGACAACTCTGACTTTTGCATGCAAAGAGAGGTTTGAAATCAGACTTACGATTTGGAATTAGCAAACTGAAATATTTCATACTAATAAAAATGAGAGCAAAGTACATTTTCTCTATTTTTTTCACGCTTGCTGAGTAAGACAAATGAAAATGAGAAGAACTGTATATTAGAACCGGTTCTGTGTGTTAGAATTGTGTTCAAGAAAACAATTATGGAATATAGTTGAGAGTACTATGATTTATAATTTATAGATTTCTATGCTTTACAAAATAATGCCCTTCAATATTGTCCATATAATGAGTTACTAGTTATAAGTAGAAAAAGCAGAGACAAATATAGAAAGGGCATTAATATATTAATGCTATATACTTCAACCTCTTTTTTAGCCATGTTAATACTTCTATGTCATTTTCAATGTTAAAGAAAATTCCTTGGCACTCTTTGGTGACCCTTTCCAATGTTTAAAACACTACACTTACGGAATTTTTATGCATTGTTCATCCTAATATTCTCAGATTGTTCCTTAAATTTTAGTTATTATCACCTAAAATTCTGAAGAAATTGCAATGATTTCTTTACAAGTGAATCTTATGAATAGTACCTTCCATAGTGTCTAAATACTTTTTACCTTACCTTCTTTACGTCTGATGGCAGCATCATCCAACATATCCAAAGAAGTGATCGTAGAAGTTGGTGATCTTTTCTTCATTTCTATTTGAGTGGTGTTGGTCTAAAAAGAAAATTGATGAATCTAATAATGGCTTCTCCCTTTTGTAGATCCAAGATTATAGCTAGAGGAAGGTTTATAGCCTTATTAAAAATGCTGAGTCTTACCTCCAGGAGCCTCTCTGTTTTCTACCATTTGCTACTCTACACTATAGGCAGTATTAAACTGATTTGAGATTATTTGGAAAACAAATGTGTGTAACTCACAACTCAACAAAATAATTTTATACTATGAAGTCAACTAAAAAGTAGCATAAGATGGGAATATTAGTGGTATTACCCATATCTGACAAAGAATTCAATGTATAGTTTAGGATTATTGTAAATATCCAGTTGTCAAACATGCACTGAATAATAAAAGCATTTATCTAACACCTTAAATTTTTTTCCTTGAGGATATCTTAACTTTGTAAACTCTTGGTAAAGTCAAAATGATTTAGTGTTGTGATGATGAAATAAGTTTTGACGAATATCAGACAATAGAATGGATTTAAAAGGATTGCTTTTGTTAGAACATATATGATAATTCCATAAAAGAATCTAGCCTTTCCGTCTCTCATGTCTTTCGGGTAATGGTTTTAAGATACCCTCTGTTTCGCTGATGTGCTTACATAGAGTTAAAGAACCCTTGCATTGGAAAGGCACTCAAACTCCTAGGCTTTGATGTAGATGCTACAAGTTCTAAACATTCATAATTATTACAAGTATAGCCCCAGATGTTTCTAGTGACCATGTGTGAAATGAGTATTTGAATTTACACTCTAAGAAACTGACAATGGGCAGGTGATATTACACCATAGAGTTTCCAATAGTTTTTACATTTGGCACACACAAAGAATGATAATATTTGTATGTTTGTTAACTTGTTAAGTAGGTGAAGCTAAAGAGGTGAAATAAATAGTAAATAAGTTTAAATAGATGAAGCTGCTCTTGAGTAGAGTTAACTGGCAGGGGCTGCCGCTGCCCTAACACTGAGGGAACTCGTGGTTGAGGCTCACCCATAAGCCCTACTTGGCGCTCTCTGGGTGGCAAGTTCTGCTGCGGTCTATCTGAAGTGGCACGATAGATATTAAGGGAATTATGTTCATCTCACTCAGAGTCAGTCAAGTCGTCTCTAATTTCACAAATACTGGGGCTAGAGGAGGTGAAAACCAACTGTACTACGCACTGCGTTCCATCAGGAAAATGATGGATTCTGCGGGTCTACAGATTTCCGTCCTCTCACCTTTCTTTTTTTGATTGAAAAAGTAGGCTAAAAACTCAGGACCTGAGGTTAATTTATTTACTTAAGCCATGCTTATTCCAGAAAGTACTTTTTAGCTGACCTGCAAAGTTACAGAAAATATGTTATAATTTATATAATCCCAAATTTCCATGACTTAACCAACAGAAATATAATTTTTCTGTTATTAAGATCTGACAGGGATTTCCTAGGTGTATCTTCACAAAGATGATACTTTGTGATATAGTGGCTAATACCCTCCACTGTACTCAACACAGAAGAACTACTTCTCATAGATCTATTTCTGATAGTGACAGTGTTTGATGGAATCATCAAGGAGCAATTCAGTAAAGATAATTGTCCGTGTTGGGAGGACTGAGCGGGGAGGAATGGGAGAGTAACAATGTTACTGTTGATATAGTCAATGCTCAATTCTCTGTTAATATGGCTTGAACTATGGGTGTATTTTAGAATATAAAATGAACGAACCATGTATCGGTCTAGTAATATATTTACCTTGACTGCGCTTCTCACAAATATTGAATGAATGCTCACAGGTTGGCCAATGACAAAGAACATAGCTATCTTACCATGCAAATTGGGAGGATCATAACTCAATAACTCTTCTTTTCTGAAGTTTAAGAGCTAATAAGGGCATATGCCTCAATTTTAGACAATCCAGTTAAAATTTGACTGAAAAACGGGGCTGGGATTCTTCTTCTCCCGACTGGTTAAATTTTCCCTGGAGAGGAGGTGTGAAGAAGGAAGAAGCCAGTCCTATTTCTAGCATTTAGCAGTGAATGCCTGAAGAGTTCGTCTCGGACTCAGACTTGCTCTCTCTACTGCAGCCACTCTGGCCTTTTTAATCCTCTGACTCACTCTGTTCCTTCTCCCTATATAGCATGAACTCATTCTTCAGACACGAGCTCAAGTGTCACTTCTTCATGAAAACCTTTTCTCACTCAGAGAAATCCTTTATTATAGGCTCTCAAAGCAGCATGTTTCTCTCTTTTACAGCACTTGCCACAGTTTCATTTAATTTTTTTTAGTAGAGAATAATACAGTGAACCCAATAACCCATAATACAGATACTCAACATCTAGCTTCAACAATTAATAACTTTATACTCTTCATTTTACACGTACTACTCACCCTACTTTTTTCTGAAACATTTTAAATCAAATTTAAGATATTAAATAATTACCAGAATAAGCTTTTAAAAAATCATTACCACAGTCAGTAAAATTAGTAATTCCTTACTATTATTCAATATCCAGACCATGCTCAATTTTCTCTCATTGATCACAAACATTCTATTATAGTTGATTTGCTTCAATCAAAATACAAAAGAGATCCACATATTATATTTAGTTTACTTTTTTCTATGTGATTTATTTGTTGAAGATATCGGGTTGCCTATACTGTAGAATTTACTTCTTTCTTGATTTGGAAGATTGTGTCCTATTAGTGTAATTTAATGCATTCTTTTCTCTCCTATACAGTAGTCTGTGGAAAAAGATAGTTAGATCTAGAGGTTTATTAGACTTAGCTCATATTTTGGCAAGAATATATGGTACATGGTGTTTTATGTTTCCTATTTCATAACATCAGGAAATAGGTAATGTCTGGTGGTCCTAGATTTATAATTTTGTGTTTGTGATAATTTTACAGTCTATCTCCCCATTAGACCATTAGTTTCATGAAGATAGCCACTATATTTGTATTTATTAATTGTTTTAGCTCTAATGCTTAGTACAATGCCTAGCATATAGCAGATAATCAATAATGTTTTATTTAATTAGATAGATGAGCTTTAAGGATGTCAGTTTAGATGGGCAAATATTTTTGAAAATATTTGTATTCCTACAGTTTACATATCTGATTCTCTTCCTGAGGTTTTACCAGTAACTGGCAAATCATAGGAAAGTTTCACCTGCAAACTGTGTAATTGATGTAATAATATTGTTTCAGCCTTGCGCCTCCAGAACAACAAAGTGGTGAAAAATGGGTTCTCTTCCTCAGTGTTGAGAAATTAGATAATCAATAAATATAGATCAAACTCTGCAACTGGAATTCCTCAATTAGGATTAAATTTGAGAATTCATGAAGACACCTTTCATACTTCTGGTACATAGCTGACACTCAATAAATATTGCACATTATTATTATTATTTTAATTATCATTAAACGGGGATATAGTCAAAGACTTAAGAATTTTGTGTTGATGGAATATTCTCCATATGGAGTGCCGTGCCTTCTGTGTTTGTCTTCTGTGTTCCCTATAATTAGCCATTAACATTTTTTCAGTTGCTTAGTATATTCTAAGCATGGACAAGTGCTTTACAGCATTTATTTCATTTGAATCTCACAATAACCTATGAAACAGTTACTATAATTATATACATCTTACAGATGTAAGCTGAAGTTTAGAAAGGTTAACAGATTTGGCAATATCATACATCTATTAGGTGACTAAAATGGACCGAAATCTATATTTATCTGACCATAAAACTGCTTTTAGCTAATACGATCCACTGCCTTCCTATGAGCATTTAAGCAATCTCCTGGTAATTCCAACATTGGAATTAGAATCTGCATAGTTTTAAATCAGATCAGTCACCTAAAGGGTCCTCAGTATGTTCCATTTTAAATTCTTCTCTCTCCAGCGTTTTCTTATGTATCAATAAAAAAGGAAAAGAAAATAAATTTTGTGAAAATGACTTTCACTCTGACTTCCCAGAAAACTTCTGCGTGACAAACTGTTCTAGTACTCTTCCAGGAAAAGAAATCCTTTATAATTGAAAGATTTTAATTAAAATCAGAAAGGCTTTATGTGACCCAGAGCAGTCAAATGAATGGAGATATTGGGAAATTGGGAAATAATCCAAGTTCTTCGTAAGCATAGTTAATAGGGCGTCTCATCTTAGGATAAGAGAAGTATTATGCTCTTGGATACATTTGTGTGTAGCCATTGACATTTGAAATGCCACTTCAAAACAAATTACACATTCAACATATCATTCAGGCTGTAATCATTCAATCTGAAGGACCCCGGACTCATTTCTAGGGACAGAAAGCTTTTGTAATTTATTTTTCTGTGACTTCCTCATGGGTAGAATAACGGCTATACTCAATAGCCTCGTTTTATACATGTTTTCTTCATATGGTCTATAATTGTTCCTTGTTTCAACAGTATGTAGATTATGGATCTCAGACACAAGTATCTATCAATAACTTGCCATTTATTATGACCCTACATGATGTCATTCAGGCCCCACTTTTTAGTAGAATGACTTTTCTAGAGCTTGTTCGTTGATGATGACTTTTAAAGAGTTACCTATGTAGGAGAGTTAACATTTTCCCCTTTTTGACCCAGAAGGTACCCTTGGTATTAATGAACCTCCTAGCCAGGCTTACTACACATTCTACTTAGTGCCAGAGTGTATCTTGGCCCTTTACTTTTCCCCATCTCTTTTTATCCTCTTTAAAGGAGAGAGTCCTGGGTATAGCTCCTTTCTATTCTTTGTGTGCTCCCTCAATCTACACTTGTTCCATCTAGCAGAAAATGTATTTCTAGTTTTTTCTTTTTCCAGGGTAGGCAATCTTTATTAGCAGGTGTTAAGAGTACAGAATTGTAACAAATCCAGAGGGATGAAAAAAGAGGCAGGGCATGGCTCCCCTCCCCAAAGTGAGGGCCCTGTAACTAGACCAGTGGAGTAGGACCGCTTTGACTTGACTGTGGACACTTTGGGCCCAGCACCCTCCAAAGAACAAGCTCCCAGGCAGGAAGGCTCCACCCAACATGGGGAGTGGGGGAAGTAACACCCCCTGGAAGAGTCATGAGCCAGGTGGCTTGGCTTCTGTCCACTGCATACCTTAACAGCTCCAGGTAGGGGTGTTAGAAGACAGGGCTAAACCTATCCCTCTCCAAACCAAGGAAGAGGTTTGAGGTTGCCAGGTCCTACGGAATACAAGAAAGCTACTTCTGGTTGCTTCCTGGGTCCTGTTCTTACTTTTAGCACACTTACATCACAATTTAGATTTTTAAAGATAATTTTCTACAACTTCTTTAATGCTACTTCTGTCATGGAAACTTTTAGAGTCATAGAACAAATCTTTTACTATGAGGCTAAAAGTCTGAAAATATATTCAAACATAACACTAAAGCTATTGAAAATTAGGTTAAAACCTTATCAAGTTTTACTAACCACGGATTTAATTATTCCATGGATAAAATAATACCCTATGTCATGATGCATGGTGCATTTCTTCTTGAAGGAGCTAGAAAGCCAAAAAATGACTTTTTTCTCTTTCTACAACTTCAGTACTGTCCTTTTCTGCATGCTTTTAGTATTTCATGATTGCTGAATTGTGGAAGGCACTACCCCTTTTGAGTTGAATGCTGCAATTTTCCAAGTTAATTCTGATGTGCTGTCTGAAGCAAGTTTGAATTAATAAACTATATCTACATTAAGAAAAGTCAGATTTGAAAAAGCTATAATATACTTATAGTTTATCAGCAGCAGTAATACACGTTTGGGAACAAAAAATTTGTGTATATTAAAGAAATCTTTAAAGATGTTGGTCACTATTGCCACAGTGCAGCCAGGAAAGAACGTTATATAGCAAAAGTGCTCTTATCAAAATCACTTTTGATCTTCTTATCAAGAACCACACACAGATTTTGACCATCTGGTAGAAGGCAATCTACCCCAAGACCTTGAGAAGATAACTCAAACTCTGTGATTCTACGAAACATTGAAAAAAATTTTTACCTCAGCTGCTTCATTTCCTTCTTGAAATTCTTTTAGAGTCTGCTGAAATTCTGGTTCAATCTTCTTAGCTTTCTCAGCAGCTGTCTGCTTTTCTTCTTCATAGGACATAGCAAGTATGCCCAAGAACAAACTCGCCATATAAAAAGCAAACCAAAAACTTATCACAACAAAAAATATCATGTAGACTTTCCCAGAAGCATAGAGGATCTAAGAAGAGGTGGACAATAAGACAAAGACGTTATTTGTCTTCCTGTAATCACCTATTTTAAAATGAGAAATGTAATTTTGTTATGAAAATAATTTAGCTATAAGTAGAAAGTAATCACAGAACAGTTTAAGTTCCGGCTCTACCTGAAAAATTAAGCAAAAAGCTCTTCAACTTGAAGGTATAGATGTAAGATACAAAATACATGGTAATACCTAAGGAATAATTTAGTAATTTATTTAACTTAGAGTATTTGACTTTTATATCTTCATTAATAGAGAAAACATATTGAAAGTAAAAAATTTTCATCTCTCAATAAAGAAAGCTGGGCAGTCTGAATATGGAAGATTGTTTCCTTAGCAGTAGAATCTTTAAATATATAAAATTCAATGAAGTCAGAGAATGAATGTTTGGAGATTATTTTCTTCTGACCATTACTCTATGGAAACACCATAACAAGGTACAAGGTCAGGTCTACTCAAAGTGTGGGGAACAGGAATATTTCTGTCAGAATAACTGCTTTGGTGAAGAACCTTTAGGCAAACTACATGCGAAAGTCATATAATTCACTTATATGAAGTCAACTAATGAATAGAAAAATACAAGATTTTAGATTTCCAAACTGAGCATGGACTAGATTTTATTTCATAATAATTAACTAAGAGATCAAAAAATTTAAAAATTTAGAAAATTATGAGTAGACACTACAAATCCAAAATACAGTCCACTGCTTTATCCTCATTGACTAAATTGAACAAAATTCAAGAAAACAAATGAGAATAGTTTTAATTTTTAAGCATCCATTTGAATTAATAGATAAGTATTATTTACAGAAAATATTGTGTTGATATAACAGTTACTAATGTTTACAGATTAGTAGGAGTTCTAACATTCAACCAGAAATAATTTCTGATTAATCCATAGTATATTTGTCTTTAAAAGTATTTTTAACAAACCCTATTATCCCAGTGAGTCAGCTATTTATGATTTGGTTAAATATTTTTCCCATTGAACTAGCTGTCATATACATTGGTACATTCAAGAGTCAGTAATAGATACTATGGAGTATATCCCAGGCCACGAACATTAATAAACATTTATGTTTATTACCTCATTAATTCTGTGCAGTACCTTTGTGTGGTATTTACTGTACTATTATTTCCAATATGCAGAAGAGAGATGAAAATGAGATAGGCAAAATGACTTGCCAAAGATCTCACAGCTATGGGGGAATGCCCAAATCTACAACTTTTTTTCTTTCCACCATATGAAGCTGGCAGAGGATAAAAGTATACACTCTTATTAGGATGGAGAAGAAGACAAATTCTAGTTCTATTATATTTTACTATAAAATCGGAGCTAATTATAGCCCCCATATAATAGATTTGTTAAAAAATCAAATGAAATGATACATGCAAAGATCGTAGCCCATGGTAAGGATTCAATACACATTAACTATTGTTAAGCTTAACTCCATTCCATGAAGACTGATACTTGGTTTTGTTCCTTTCTGTACCCATGGTGCACCAAACAGTACTTGGGTCAAATAAATATTTGTTGAATGAATGAAGAATGATATTCTCCAAAACATGAGCTGTACTCTTTGGGGATAATTCCTGAATTTCCCTAGCCATAATCAGTTTAGTTTAGGGCAATGCTTACAGTATAAATTCAGTCCAAATCAAAGCAAGCCTTATCTACTCTAGTTAATAAAAACTTAGAGTGTGGGGCCGGCCCCATGGTTGAGTGGTTAAGTTCGTGCGCTCCACTTCAGTGGCCCAGGGTTTCCCTGGTTCGGATCCCGGGCGCGGACATGGCACTGCTCATCAGGCCACGTTGAGGTGGCATCCCACATGCCACAACTAGAGGGACCCACAACTAGAATATACAACTATGTAGTGGGAGGATTTAGGGAGAAAAAGCAGGGAAAAAAAAGAAGATTGGCAACGGTTGTTAGCTCAGGTGCCAATCTTAAAAATAACAAAAAGAAACCTTAGAGCGCAATAATGATGAAGGTCCTGAATGGACTCCAGCACCAGGGCACTTCCAGACTGACTGCTCATTTCACTGGTAGTGAAAAAGCATCTCCCTTAAACCAATGCTAAGAAGAAAAGTAGCTAACATACTTTGAGGGCAGTAAAGAAAAAAAAAGCAAGACATTTACTATTGTATAAAGTGGCACAATCCATAAATATTCATTTATGTTTTTGTTTATTAAAATTTCATTAGGCATTTCTATGTGTTAGATGCTGAGAACACAAAACTTTAAAGAAGACAAAATATTCCTTCTTAGGTAGTTCATCTCCTAGTGGGAGGAAGAGCTGAACAGGCAATTAAAATAACTGCTATCAGAGGCAATTATAGGGTACTGTGGAATTCTGGTGTAGGATATGCCTAACTCTGAGAGAAGGGCTTGGGGAAAAGCTCAGAGAAGAAACCTGGCTTTGAGGCATGAATTTGAGGCATGAGACTGAAGACAGAAAGAAATGTGAATTTAGGCAGAGGGTACAACATACTCTGAAACAAGAAATTATGGGAAAAGCTCATTTAGGAAATCAAATAAAGCAGAGAGTTTATATTGGGACATTGGTAAGAAATAAATCTGGAGAGCATCTCTCAGTTCCTATGGGAACCTCATCCCATAGGAATCTGGAAACCACTGAAGGATTTTTAGAAGGAGGATAACAAGATAAGATTATTTTAGAAATAAGTTCCTAGTGTTGTGGAGGAGGCAAACAGTTTGGGAAATAGTATAAATGTTAATCTTACAAAACTAGAAAAATATAGTTTGCATAAAGAAAAATGCAACTTGTAATATTTTCATATACTTCTTTTACTAGAAATATACTTGTGCTACATGTATGTTTAGTTTACTTGATTTTAATTTAATAATATATCATGAACCTTTGTGCCAAAAATATATCACATAAACCTATCATTTTTACTGGCCTGTACACACACCCACACACACCATAATTTATGTACCCAATTATAAAAAGTATGGTGTGTGTGTTTAAAAAAAGAATGTTCTCCTTCAACTACAAATATTTTTGGAATTTAAAGTAATTTATTTATTTTATCCAATATCCTTTGATAGTAACTACACTGCTAAAATAACACTGCATAGTCTACTGTGATAAAACTCTTAAAGGAAAACTGGATCTCCATTTTAACGAGTATTATTATCTTTCTGAGAAACTACGGCACACAAATAATGAGTTATGAAGAAAGACACTCAGAATTTGGATTTCAAGTCTCAACAGCAAGTCTGTTATAACTGGAGCACGGTTGAATATATTTATTTTTTTTAGCAACTGTTTGTTATATATGTTTTTTTCTTTTTCTTTTCTTTTTTTTTTTTGCAGAGAAGGATTTGCCCTGAGCTAATGTCTGTTGCCAATACTCCTCTTTTTTTCTCCCCAAAGTCCTAGTGCATGGTTGCATATCCCAGTTTAAGTCCTTCTAGCTCTTCTGTGTGAGCCGCCACCACGGCATGGCAACTGACAGACAGGTGGTGTGGTTCCGTGACCAATAAGTGAACCTGCGCAGGCAAAGTGGTGAAAATGCTGAACTTTAACCACTAGACCCTAAAGGCTGGCTCTGAATTTTAAAGGGGAATAAGAAGAAATAGAAGAATTGAGGAGAAAGAATACATTGTAGGCATTCAATAAATAATTGCTTAATACATGGTAATCTCATAGGTTCAAAATTTTTGACTAAAGAATTAGTACCTAGAAATGCTCTTTACTTAGTTAATATCGAATGTATGATATTACAGAGCATAACAGTGATCTCTGGCAGATATTAGTGTTGTAACTTTGGGGAGGTTATTCAACCACTCTGATCTTACTGTCTTCATGTATATATACAGATATATATATATATATACATATATACATACATATATATATACTGATCTTGCAGTATATATCATATATATATATACTGATATATATACATACATATATATATATACACACTGATCTTGTAGGATTACTTCAAAGATTAAATGAGATATCATACATAAGGGCACAGACTTGGGCACAGTGTTAACATATAGCTGGACATTCAACAACTCCAGTTCTCTTTTCTTCTATCCTCAACTTCTTTTCCACATAAAAATTTAATAAACTCCATTACACTTGACCATTATTTTAGAAGGGAAGAGCATGGCACCATTCTTACATGCAGTGCGGATTCTCTCTGTTCTTACCTGGTGATAAAGTGCTTCAGGGTAATCCTGTGTCATTAGCCGAAATAGGGCAAGTAAGGCCCAGCCAAAACTGTCAAAATTTGTGTAGCCATCATCGGGGTTTATGCCAGCTTTTACACACACATATCCTTCAGGACACTGACTAAGAAGACAAAGAAAGGAAAAACTGTTTACTCTTACGGGACTTTTAGATTATGGCCAAATCCTAAATATAGAAACCTGCCCATGAATCATAGAGGGCTCCCTTTTCCACAGGGAGTAACTGGTCTTCTCCCAAACAATTCCCAGCAAAAAGGCTGCAAATGAGTTAGATTTTAAATTGATATAAGTGAGCAGTTGTTAATTAAGCTAACAGAAAAAAGGGCCTCACGAACAGTTTTTGCCAAGCCTTTGTTAAAGATTTCTTTACAACCCAATATCAAAGAGAAAGAATAATTGATGGAAAATAACACTGATAAAAATACAACCGCAGTAGGGGAGGGCTTAATTTTCAAATGATCTCACCTCACTCCCTGAGATCCCATTATTTAAAGGTGAGAAAACATTTATCACATCAATAATTCGGGAGCAGTACTTGCATTTCAGTAGAAAGATCAGATTAAACATTTATTTCATTTCCTTTCATGGAGTCTTCATACTTTTTTCTACTGGGGGCTTGGGTGTTGTGGTCAATTATTACAGCAGTGGCCTCGTATTATCATACTTTCCCCTATCCACACCCTTGTATAGCTAGCTTCCACATTATTCTGGCTTTGGCCATGAGACTTGTTTTGGACATTTGTTAGCAGTTAACAAATGTGATGTAAACATAGGTTTAAAAAGTATTTGTGCATTGAGGTTGCTAAATTGCTGACCCACAGAATCTGAACAAATGAATTTTTGTTCTTGTCTTAAAGCATGAGCTTTTGGGATATTTTACCACACAGTAAAGTATGATGGGTACAGGTGCAACATTGCATGACTTTCTCTTCTGGCCTTAAAATGCATCATTGCGATTCTGACTATCCATGACCAGATAATTTCAACAAGCATTTCAGGTCATATTTGAGTTTGGGATGTCCATAAAAACAGGTAGCTAGAGTGATACTGGGTAGACATCATGTGATGGAGGCGAAATTTAGACTTGAGAATAGAATGGAATCCCAGCGGTAGCTGGGCAAAAAGAGTTGAGCAAGTGACAAAATGGCTAAATCATCTGAATAAAAGTAAACTACATAACTCATGCTCCCCTCCCACCATGTGCCTTTCGTCAATCTGGGCCCCAGGGCCTATGAAAGAGCTGAGCCTACAAATGGGTGTCAAGTCATCCCAGCTGAGAAAGTAACATAAGAAATTACATGAGTCATAGTACTGCTGAGAAGCACTTTACATAATTTTCTTATCTCTTCATCTGAAATTATAAGACAATAATACTTAAGAACTTTGTCATCTCACTGAAGAATTATTTATAAGCACCATTTTTAAGAACAATAGGCTCTTTGTTAATGTATATTATAATCATAAAAGATATACAAGCCATAAATAAGTGAAATAACAGCATATCTTCACTATTTCTTTTATTCAAAGGTTTCCGGCCAAAGAAAAGATTATATTGTTTTTCTTGATAATTGTCACTAGCTCTCAGGAACACTGAATGCAGAAAATCAGATCCTTGTTTAGGTCCCAGCTCTGCCATTTACTAACTTCTTGACCTCGAATAAATCATTTAGCTAGTCTGCCTATTGCGTTTTCCTGTGAAATTGGATTAACAGTATTCCATATTGTACACTTCTCAGCATAGTTTTGATGATAAAATGAGATAATGCAATCAAATAGGAATCACTAGTAAAGCAATAATCATTCAATAAATACTACTGATTGGTGATACTGACTTGATAGAAGAAAATTTTAACACCACTTACCCAGCATCTGTTCCGTTGCCACAAAGGAGAGCATACCTTTCTCCTTCCAAATAGTAAAAGTTTTCTGTTTCTGAAAAATAAGAAAGAAATGATATTCTATATCTAATATTGAGTAAATAACATATCTGAAAGCTATTTAAATCTGCACAGATGAACAGTGCTCTCTAGTGTGAGAAGGAAGGAGCATATAGCCCAGCCTTTTTTATCTAGGAGGCTATCCTAGCATCTGATGCACGGGCCAGAAGACCTCAGGCAATTCACCTGTTTCACTGCACTGAAAGGGACAAAGCTCAGCACAGAAGGAGGAGAATCTCTTTCAAAATCAGAATTCAGAAAAATGAATATAACCAGCCAGGTATGACTAGACACTGGAAGGAAAAATTCCCAAGACTAATCTGTTTGAAAGCTGAGGTCCTCTTCTTCCAGGGCTTACTCCTGATGACCTTCCTGAGCAGAAGACCAGATTTTTCTGTCTGTAGGCTTAATTTCCATTCTCTTCCCATATTGAAGCGTATTTTTCTCCATGGAGCATCCCGTGCCAATTACTTTCCCTGATGTCATCTAATGTCCAACACAACCCAAGCTAATCTGAGTGATAGCCGTAGAATTTATCCAGGTATCCTTATCTGTTGTCAATCAAAATGTAAGTTGTGTATTTATAGATATCAGTCACCAGAGTTGGGAACATACATGCAAAAACATTGGTTTTTTCAGGTTTTGAATTCAAATCACAGAGATCAAACCCATCAGTCCTGAGGGTGTGTATGTGTATATATACACATATACATAGCATACATATATATATATACACACACATACAAATATATATATGCAACAATGTATAATCATATACACAAAATTGAAGTGTTCTAATCTTAAATAAAGTCACTTTAATTTGTCACCTAAAGTAATTTTAGAAAAATTTTTAAATCATAAATAGGAACCATTGATCAAACCTTTAAAATGGCAGTAAAAAAAAAACCGAAATTTGACATTAGTAGAACTGGGCAGTCTGAAGCACTTTCTAAATCCAAGGACTATGACATGGTAATTAGGTTAAATAATGTTTTACAAATCTAATATTTTCAGCAATTTCTAGCATGTTCTTTGAGGAAATGGAATGACTAGAACTGGAAAAATTTTAAAGTGTCAATCTTTAAAAAGCTATTTCTTTATAATATAATATTGTACTTTAACAAAGATGAAAAGAACCTGGATTCTATTTTCTTAGCAATAATCAGTGAAGTAGCAAAATTCATTTATTTTTTAGATAACTAGCATATTTTGTTACAACATCAAAGAAACCAAAGGGAATCTAAGATCTAACAGGCCTCTCCTGGTGTCCTCATCACCAGAACTAGGACCATGAAATAGATACATATAATAAGGAAACATTTCACATACTCATATACTAATAGTTTTGTGTTACTTGCATTATAATCATATTACGAGTAAACCAATGAGCAAAATTAATCAAGATTTGTTTTAGAACTTATTAAATCCAAAGTATAAATAAAATTAATGTAGAAGGACTATATAAGATTTATCAATACTTTATTTTTATTAGTTGAAAAATATGCTTTTATGCTCAATATCACTAGTCATTAGAGAAATGCAAATTAAAACCACAATGAGGTATTGCCTCATGCCTGTTAGAACAGCTATCATCAAAAAGACAAGAGATAACAAATGCTGGTGTGGATGTGGAGAAAAGGGAGCTCTTATGCACTACTGGTGGGATGGTAAACTGGTACAGCCACTATGGAAAAGAGTATAGAGGATCCTCAAAAAATTAAAAAAATAGAACTACTACATGATCCATGATTCCACTTCTGGGAATATATCCAAAGGTAACAGAAACACTAACTCAAAAAAAAAACTCTGCACTCTCATGTTTATAGCAGCATTATCTACAATAGCCAAAACATGAAAACAACCTAAGCGTCCACTGATGGATGAGTGGATAAAGAAATTGTGGTATATGTATACAATGGAATATTATTCAGCCATAAGAAATGAAGAAATCCTACCATTTCTGACAACATGGATGGACCTTGAAGGCATTATGCTAAGTGAAATGAGTCAGACAAAGATAAATAGTATTTGATCTCACTTATATGTATAATCTTAAAAAAAAAGCAAACTCATAGAAAAAGAGATCAGACTTGTGGTTAGCAGAGGTAGGGGTTAGGAGGATGGGGAATTGGAGGAAGGTGGTCAAAAGGTACAAACTTCCAGTTATAAGATAAATAAGACTAGGGGTGTAATGTACAAAGTGAGGACTATAGCTAACAGTCCTGTAGATACACAGGAAAGTTAAAGCAAATCTTAAAAGTTCTCATCACAAGGAGAAAATTTTTTTCTTTTATTCTTTTCTCCTTTCTTTTCTTTTTATTGTATCTATATGAGAAGATGGATGTTAGCTGAACCTACTGTGGTAATCATTTCACGATATTTGTAAATCAAACTATCATGCTGTACACCTTAAAAGAATATAAATGCATTTACTTTTTTCTAAATACTGTCAGAAAGGACCTGATAATTTTAATATGAGAGAAAAATCCAACAGGAGAGTATGGCCTGGTGAGAAGGGAATAGGTGTTTTTGTGTGTATGTGTGTATGTATGAGGAAGATTGGCCCTGAGCTAACATCTGTGCTAATCTTCCTCTATTTTACGTGGGGTGGCACCACAGTGTGGCTTGACGAGCAGTGCTAGGTCTGCGCCCAGCATGCGAACCTGCAAATGTGCTGCTGCCAGAGCAGAGCGTGCAAACTTAACCACTATGCCACCTGGCTGACCCTGGGAATAGGTTTTAAAACCACACTGAGCTTAGTCAGAATCCTAGTTTTACCACAGAGTAGTTACAGTACATTGGAAGATTCACTGAATTTCTCTGAACTTCCGTTTCCTTGTTTGTAACGGGGGTTGTTTATATCTCCTCTGCAGGATTATGGTGAGGATATGTGGTCAGGCATGTGAATTACTTATGCATAAGAGATAAGCAATACAGATCTGGCATTATTTCTATTAGCCTAAATATTTTCAGTATTTACCAAAGTATAACTCAAAGCATTTAAAATTAACAGCAGTAATTGAAATCCAACAATAGTAAGAATTTCTATGACGTAGGCCATTTTTTGATTTATAAGGTCACCTCAAAATTTCTAATGAGTAAACTTACATTTATATTTTAAATAACTTTATGAAAGAAAGGTAGTATTATGAGGATTCTACTCTGATGAAATAGTAAATAAGACTTTGGTTATATTTAATTATTTTTTAAAGGAAAAATTTGCAAAATTTAGCAATTCCAAACTTAAGTTTTCCTGATTTAACTATCTGAAGATTGGAACTTTGTGATCCTGATAAATGAAACTGATCCAAATTAGTATTTGACCATCATTACAGCATTGACAGGAATGTATTTTGAAGTTGAATTTGTTCTGAAGTTGAGTGTTCAACATTTCTGTGAAGATTACTCTGCCATTAAGAAAAATGCTATTTTTTTGACATAGATGGCAAGTGATTCTTACCTCGAATATAATATGGGTTTCCAGTTCTGTTGTGCAGGGTTTCAGTTTCATTTTCTTGGGGCCATCGCAAACATTTATGCTTCAGGTTGCCCATGAAAAGCCCCATCCCAATTAAAGAAAATATGCTCAGAAAAAACAGAGTTAGGATAATGACACCAGTAAGTTTCTTCAAGCAACAGATCAGGATCCCTACAGAAGACTTCAGACCTGAAAAGAGAAAGTTTTGTTTTTGATAAAATAAAATATCTGAGTAAAGCAGCATTCGCAAACTTCTCCCATGGCAAATATGTACTCCATTGAAATCAATAGCTTTGTGTTTTATAATCTAATTCATCATTATCTAGGTCTAATAAGTAAAATAAATAAAAATCCAAATGTTGAGGTTTCTGTACTATGCTAATTTATTACACCTGACAAAATAATTCAGACGCAATATTTTAAAATTAGCTATTTATCTATTTCTCTTTTCTACATAAAGAATAGGCTTTCTTTCTTAGTTACTGCTTTTTGCATAAATCACCATCATGTCTAATCGTAAAGGTATAGATAAATCAAAATGAGTTGAAATGTTGTAAAAACAAGATTAGCTTGAAATAGAAGTATTCTACACTATTCTTTCACTAACTTTTTAAGAATTTAATTTTTGGACCTGATTAAGTAAAACATGAAAAAGTTTTAATTATTAGAAATGAGAATAACACACAACCATGATATATGGGCTGTATTTATATCAGAATACTTACTAATTGGGAATTCAACCTTAAAGCTGGCTTTATTTAAGAACATTCATTTTTCTAATTATTAAATAATACCTGCTCAATTCTGAACACATAGAAAGCAAGAAGAAACAAAAAACAGAAATAACATAATTGTACGTCATAGATGAAACTAACTTTGCTGCCCTCCCTCCCCTCCTTCCTTCCTTCCTTCTCCTTTGCCCTGGCTCTCTTCTTATTTGTTGGTCTGTTTGTATTTAGGATCTTAATAACTGCTCAGCTCAACAATGGATGAGAATAAACCAGCTCTGTGACGCTGAGCAAGTTATCAACATTTCTACGCCTCCATTTCATTAGCTTTAAAACGGGGGATAATAACACCTATTTCATATATTATTGTGAGAACTGAAAGTCTATTTTTTTAAAGTCACTTCCTCAGATGATTGGGCCTCTTGAACGTAGCAGAATAGGGCTGGAAAAAAGTCATTCTTATGATTAAAGAAATGTGATATCTAGATGAAGTGTACAATTTTAATTGCTAACATACTGAAATACATGTTTATAGCTTACTTTTGTTGCCACTTGGAATTATATTATTAGTTTAGTTTTCTTTTTTTTTTTTTTTTGCCATATGCAGTCTTTTTTAAGTGTTAAATTAGAAATGGAATTTCCACGTCAAAATATATGACCACACTTAAGTAGTGATACAAACGTTCAGATTGTTTTCAAGAGATGTTGAACCAATGTATAAACAAAAGACTATAAACATATAGTTAAGCCTTCACTAAACTGAGACATTTGACAAAACATTATTGCCAATTTATTAGAAGAAAAATGGGATAACTTTACTTTGATGTAATTTCTGTGATTACCATAATGAACTTTTAAAATATGCATATTTGCACTATGTACTTTTTATTTGGTAACTGTCACGAGCCCTTGGTATATTTTTCTACTGAAAAATGCTTTTTCAAATTGTTTTGTTAGAATTATTTTTAAGAATAGCAACTCTTACATAAGAGTATGTGTGTGAAGTTTCCTGTGGAGCTTTAATTTTAGTGGTGACAATTTGTTTGAAAGCAAAACAAGTCACCATCAAGTTTCACAGAATCAAGTTTATTAATAATTTTCACTGTTATCTGCCGCATGCCAATTTTTATTTTGATTTCCTGGTATAACTTTCCCATTCTTTTTTCTTTTAAACTTTCATTTTGTTTTAGTTTAGGTGTAGCTCTTGTGGAGTTTATCTCTAATTTAATATTAAAGTCTCTGAATCTTGACAGAAAAATTTAAGTGAATTGCATTTATTTTCATAAATTGGCATTATTTTTGGATTGGCCTTCACCATTTTGTTTTTTGATTTTTTTATATTCTCTTTATGATTTACTATGTATCCTATCCTTTCTAAGTAAACTTTAATTTATTTCTTTTTTTCTCTAGTATTTTAGATAAAATATATCCATTTTGAGAACCTGTATCAAACAAGTTCTTATTTTGAACAAACATGTACTCTCTACATCAAAAACAAAACTGCCCACTATAGCCTCACCATATAAGGAAATAACCGTATGTACGTTCTTATATTTCTCCATTCCCACTACTCAGTTTTTAATATAATTTAGGACTTTTGATCTAGTTATAATTGTTGAATTTTATCTATTTTGCACTGTATATTCTCTTTCATGATTTATAGGAAAGGTAACATTCAAATTCTTACACAGGCTTGTCAGGAAACATGAATTCATGCAAATAGGGAGTGGAGGGGACTTAGATGACTACGCCCAGCGTAAAGGGGCAGCTGCTCCTCAGCTACAGCTGGTAGCGGCCAGGCAGGTCTGTGGGTGGATCAATGCTGACAATTCATCCAAGTTAACTTAGATTTTAATGTTAAAATCACCAGATTTTTATAATGTTGGCATCTATTCCAAAGTTTTCTAAAACACAAACAAAATAGGACTCTAGTTCAAAAATGATCCACAGATGTTCATGTTATAACTTCTGATTTGTAATATTTGCATTCTGTTTTGCAACCCACTAACAACATTCATTTGGAATTCATTCTCTGTTGAAATGATTTCAGAGTTCATTGTGATTAGTTTGGGTACTAAATCTTCCCACTGTTGAATATTTTACTTTCATACTTTTGTTTGTCGGTAGACATTCAGGGAAGATACACATGTGAAATTTCAGAACCCTTGCCAGAGCTGAGAATACCTCTCTGCTGACTTCATGCGTGAATGACAGACAGGTATAGAATTCTGGTGGCACAACCTTCCTGCCTACACTTCCCCCCAGCAACTCATGTTTAATATTATCAAGAGCTCTAAGGAGGATCTTTCCAAAGGCTCTTTTCTTTGCTTTTTTGCTTACAGGGTTTTCAAAAGACTTTTATTCTCTAATCTTTTAAATTTACAAAATTTCATATGTCTAAGTGTATATTTTAGTTTTCTTTATCTAGTCTAAGATGAGCCTTTTCCATTTGTGGCTAAGGTCTTTCTCAAGTTAACGGATTTAAAAATTTTTTTCTAGAGTATTTTTGAATAATTTGTCTTTTATATTAGTCTGGTCTCTTTTTTAGGATCACTACTTATTCATAAGATGGAACTTAGTTTTCTCTTTCACGAATCCATCCCATTCATGTTTCTGCTGTAGTGATAGAGAATTTCTCTAGTTTTTCTTTACACATGTGGTTTTGTTTTACTCTGACATAATACTATGCAGATAAAACTATACTTTACTGCTTCTATTACCATCGAATATTCACCATGGGTACTATAATTTTTATCACTTCTTTGTCTTAAAGGTATTTTTATTTGTCTATTTTATTATCTCATTTTCATCTTCTACTTGAGAGAGTCTAGGTTTTCCTCTATTGGGACTACAAAACAGATGATTTCTAATGTTTGCTTCTCTTTCTTAGAACACATTACTTTTAAAGAAAAAGAGAGGGTTATTTTCATTCTCTTAAATAACATGTTTCTCTTTCTGTCCTGTAAAATATTGTCATACACTTTATATTGCTGGTATGTGCCTTATTTTCTTCCTTGAAAAAAAGAGGAGTTCCAACGAGCCTGTGTGCTCTCTATTCTAGTGAGTGTAATTTTCTTGTATTAACTGGGATTTCCTGATTTCCTGATTTATAGAAATAATCCTTACCTTTGATGCTGAGATGAAGATGCAGGTGATGCAATTTTATGTTCTAGTAATTTGTGGAGAGTAGTAAGGGAGTTAGGACTGTGGAAATTCCTACAAGGGCAACTCTCACTGCTGGTTTCTTTACCGGGTTTGGTGAAGCTGCCATGCCACAGACCATTTTTATTAAACAGTTTTATTGAGATATAATTCATAAACCATACAACTCACCCATTTAATGTGTATAATTCAACATTTTTGTATATCCACAAGGTTATGCATCCATCACCACACTCCTCAATCTTTTTGCTGTTTTTCCCAGCCTGGACTCCAGGTACAAAGCATGCGTATGTCTGGCATTCTTCATGGTATGCCAGTGGACAAAACCTGCCTGTAGGTCTTATTGTTGGTATTACTACATTTGCACCTAGGTTTATTGATCCAACTCTTTCATGATACTTCTGACTCATAGCAGCTAAAAAACTCTTGAGTGGAGTTGTTCCTATCTGATTGTTTTTATACATTCTGAACAACAAATTAGAAGTTGCTGGTGGGATTCTCTAGGCTATCTTCAGGAATGGGAGTTGTAAATTAGTCCTCAGCATCTTCGGTCAATGTGGTCACAGCTTTATCTTATATAGGAGAACCTCCATTGTGGCTGCGGATGCACCCTCTCCAAGCACTCAGAGCTAAGGAGAATTTATCTTATATTATTTTCAGTGCAACTGGTGTTTCAACGCAATAAGGAAAAGAAGAAGGTAGACTAGATATCTGTCTAGACTGCTATTTCTCTCAGAAGTCTAAGGACAATTTCGTAAGTTCATATTTAAGAAGTAAGAATAAATAAATAAGAAAAAATAGAAAAATAATTTATTTTGATTGATCTCTACACTTTACGATCTCTACACCCACCTCAAATAATTGACAGTCAAATGTGATATTTTTTCTTACCTTTCCAGGAGTGAAATATATTTAAAAATCAAAAAGTTCATTGATTTCAAAGCTGAAACACTGTCCAATTTAATATTTCTCCAAGGAATAATAGAGGAGTTCGAATGACTATATGGAAGCACGTAAAACAAAATTAAGAAAAGGAACTCAATGTTATTTCTTACCTTGGTTTAAAGGAATGATTTTCAAAATTCTCAAATTTCTTGTAATTCTAAATATTAGAATGAATTTTAGAGGAGAGTATCTTGTTATATGCCTGTGGAATTAGATTAGAGTTATTTAGAAATCATATTGAGTCTAGGCTACTTATCTTCAGCTTTTTAGATGCTTTGAAACTTATTTTAAAACTGGATATCCAAAGTTTCCCTTTTCTCAATATTCCATTTTGCAAATAGTTTCATTATTGATCAGAAGACAAAGATTCCTACAAAGTGCAGGATAGCCAAGTAAATATTAACCCACAAACAAATCAGGAGAGTTCATGAAATTTTGACACTGTGAGTACTCTTAGATCCATATCAAATACTTTATATTATGTTCACAAATATTTTACCTAATTAATGAAAAAATAGTTAAAAATAAGAAAAATCCATAGTTTCTTAAAGGAATGAGCTTCATTTTTAAGCATTTAAACTGATGATGACGATGATGATGATAGTGATGATGATGATAATGATGATGACGATGATAATGGTGATGGTGATGATAGCAGAAGGCAGGGTGTGTAGTGGTTAAGGGCCCAGAATCTGTAGCCAGATTGCCTGTGTAGAAATCCAGATTGTCCCCACTATTTTCTAGCTGTGTGACATGGAAAAATTGCTTAATCCTTTCTTGCCTCAATTTCCTCAAAAGTAAAGAAGGAATAATAATACTTTCCAATTCTGAGGCTTTTTGTGGGGATTAAATAGGTTAATATATGTAAAGCGCATAGAAGGGCCCGTGTCACACACTAAGGACTAAGTGTTAGCTAAGTGTTTGCTAACAGCAACGGCAACAGCAGAAATAATGGTACAATGGTAGTAATAGATAATAATTTCAATGATATTAGCTACTATTTTTGGATTGCTTACAACATGGCAGGCACTGATTATGCTGTTTATAAAGGTTATTTCTTTTTTAAAAAATTGACCCAAAATCTACAATAGAACATTATTTTAAACTATTTTAACAGGAGTTTGATGCCAGTGATTATTTCCTTAGCCATAAAACAGAGTACACAAAATAGAAGCATTAAAAAAAATAAACACACATGTAAATCGTTAGAATTTAATATAACACTCTAGAAAATGTATGTGTTTGTTTAAAACATCTTATTCTGATAGCTGGTATATTTACTGGTCTTAAGCAATGTAGGTAAATAAAATATAGACTGGAGACAGAATCGAATATTCTAGGATCCTCTTCTAAGTCTCCAGCAGGTTTTCCGTTCACTGAAACAATCATTTAAAATGTAAAAATTCAATCTCTATTGTTTTCGCTTCAGATAGTAAACAGAGATAATATCCATTCCTTTCATTTTCATTGCTTATTCTGAGGAGTTTGAGCTGCCTGAGAGAACTCACTGTGATTATGATTTATGAAATATCTTTTATTCACAGAATTTTGCAGGCAGAAAACTTTGTCAACCTCAATGTTTCTTTATGAAAAGCATTTGCTTAACAAGATAGTATTACGATGTTTGCAACTTAAAGAAATACTCACTCAAACAAGGTTACGCTGAAATCCAGCCAGTTCCATGGATCACCAAAGAAATAAAAAGATCCTGCCCAGATGCCTCTTGCAATGAGTTTTACAAGTATTTCAAATGTGTAAATTCCAAGCAAAGTATCCCTGCAGGAAAATTTTCATATACACATTAAAAGTGAGAATAATGCTTTGTCAGCTCTGAAATACACTGTATATGATAAATATCTTACAACCAATCAACCAACCAACAAATCAACCAACCAGACAACAATCAAAAAAGCACGTGTCCCCTGAACCATAAGATAGGCCTTTAGATAAGGCTTCTAGAATGGGCTATGTCTTACTGCATTAACTATGAAATTTGACTATCAATTTTTTCAAGTCCTAGCTCAGGGTTATAGTCTTCATATATATTTAGATAAATGATGAAAATATCAAATACCAAATTTATTCCACATTGGAAACTATACAATAATTAACTAAATTGTAAAGGAGTATGAAAGAACTAATTTTATTGTATGTGTACACAAGGATTTTTATGGTGAATCAGTATTATATTTACCTTCCAAAGACAATTAATTTTAAGAACAGAATTAAAGCTCGAGAGGTAGCATCAACAAAGCCTTCTTCCTAGAAAATGTAATTGGCCTTTCCCACATTGTAGTCTCATGTAAGTCAAACTACTCACATCTCTTAGGAAAGAGAAGAGAAGTAGAACAGAGAGGAAGAAAGAGAAATAACTTTTTTAAAGAATGGAAAGAAATAAACGTTATTTGAGTTTGAAGCAAATCAGATGTGGGAGTGCAATAGTAAGGAAAATCCAAGGCACTGAAATACTGTATTAATTATTAATAATTAACTTTAAAATAAAACCTCACTTGTATGATACCATAGACATAGACACAGCTAACGACTCGCACATTTATGTCATGGTAACAACACGTTGGGAAATAGAGACATTTAAAATCCAATTAAGAATAATGAAGAGGTAGAAAAACATTAAAATTGATTAATTAACATATATGCATATTTGTTTTTACTTGGAAAATTCATTAATTGTGGTATGTGTATAAATATTTTACTATGTACAATGAATATTAAATTATATATGAAATATAAGTATTAAATTGTACAATGTTTTAATATGTAGTATATAAAGTACTGTAATACGTTAAATATAAAATATAATCATATATGAGATTATGTATAATAAAATTATATAACTTACTGTAATGCTGGCCACCATTTTGGCAAATTAATCATGGTCATAAATACGCAGTCAATCAGGACACTAGTTAAAATTAGCAGTCGGAAAAAGGTAGGTTATGGTCAAGGAATAATGGATAATAAATAATATTGGAAATTATGTTTCTATAATCTGTTTACATGTATATACACGTATGAGATAAGATAGTTTCTTAAATGTTGAAAAAGTATATACCATTCACATTGAAAAACAATGAGCATTAAGATTTTTTAATATTTACTACTGCTGTGTGTACTAGAAAATATATTTTAAACATGGAACACTTAGTGCAGTTATAGTCTAGATTTCAATATGACCTAAAAAGAAATATCAATTCAAAAGAGAAAAAGACTGCAGCCATGTTGAATAGAAAAGTTGCCTTTGATATTAGTACAGTCTAAAGTCAATAGAAAAGGATATGGATGTACCAAAATCTTAATAGTTGTTCCTCTAATTGAACTGAAAGGAGACAATGTACACCAGGTGGCATTGAATCTGAAGATTGTTCTCTTTCTATTTAACACCATGAAAGTCTACAAGAGGAAAAAAGAGCATCAAGTGAAATTAGAACTAGAAACTATAATCTCATCAATTATGCAACATATTGCCAATGATCGTTTCAAGCATGAATTCTAACACTTACACTTTTCTTATATTTTGATATTCTTTTACAGACTAAATCAAATGGAATAGTTTTCTTTAAACTTTTTCCATTGCTATTTAGGCTTATTTACTACTTTTTTTCTTTTTTGTGACCAATGTTCTACCTTAAAAAGCCATTTGCCACACACCAATCCTCAAGTCTTCCTGTAGAGCTAACGTAGTAGGAAGAGAACTATATCCTGATGGCTCATGGAGATGCATTTAAACACCAGAGCTCAATGAATGTAAAAATAGTTAATTTTATTTCAAAGCAAATAAGGTGTGGAATTACAATGGTAAAAATCACCCAATGCACTGAAATACTGCATTAATCGTTAGTAATTAGGTATGATATAAAACCCAACTTGTATGTTATCACTGACATAAACAAACCTAAAACAAAAATTTACATCATGTAAAGTGAATATGTTGGGGTATAGAAGCATTAAAAACAAAAACAATGAAAGATCAGAAATATCCTAAAAATGAGTCTATATACGTATATTTGTGTATATGTGAGTATCTATAACATATAGAAATATACACAGCAAAAGTGTGTATGTATGTATGTCTGTGTGTGTGTTACATAAACACATATATACACCTTTACTATATATACATATCCATTTGGAAAATTCATTTATTGTGGTGTGTGCATAAATATATCATATATAGTGAATATTATGTGGATTATAATATAACATAGTGTATGATATATAGTATATAATGCAATGTGATTCATATATTATACTAAAATATGTATTAAATATAATCTATTATATACTGTAGTATTATATATTATATAATATGTAATTATACATATACTGTAGTATTATATATTATATAATATGTAATTATACAGAGGGTATGTAGTTACTATATGTTGTATTTAAATGTACGTACAGTACAAATATATTAATGAATGCAAATATATATTCATCAATATTTTATGAACATCTTTTCTTTTTTTTTTACTTCTTTTTTTTTTCCTGCTTTTTTCCTCCCCAAATCCCCCCAGTACATAGTTGTATATTTTAGTTGTGGGTCCTTCTAGTTGTGGCATGTATGAACATCTTTCCTAAGTGGAAAACGAACTGTGCTATAATTCTCCTCAATAAAACATTTTTCCAACATACAATTTGCAGACATTTTGGCCTGTACTGTAGTTATTTTCCTTCACTCCATTTTAAATGCAAAGAGAAAATCAAAAGGGCCAAAGAAAATAAATCTGATTATTTAGGATATACTTTCCATATATTTTCTAGAACAATCTCAAACTTCACCCAAGATGTATGTGCAACCAATGAGCTTATACGTCATTGTGAAGAAATGAGTAATACCAGATATAACAATTTTCCAGTTAATGTTTAAGTGCTGAAATTGTTTATTTAATTTTAGAATTGTTTATTTGTATGCCATCTTTAACAGAATAAACTGAATATAATTCAAAATTTTAACATCTTTGTGTCATCATGAATAACTACTTTTTATACTAAGTCATCCTTGCAGTTTGAGGCTTGTTTCATTTTTCAAAATGCTTGGTTTTGTCTAGGTTTGTCTAACAAACCTAGAGTTGCCTACCACGTCTGTATACACTACAGAGAACTCAGAATTCTGCTATAGTAGACTTACCTCTATGCTTACTGTGTTATATCAATTATTATGACAAGCATAGCAAACACTGAAAGCAGAGATAACTGAGATGACGACTAATATTTTCACTACAATGTTCTCAAGATTTTACAAGGGTTTTATAGTTAGTGTCGCATAATGCCCATGGAGGCTACCAGAGATACTGGAGTCTTTTTGTTAATGTACGTATTTACATCGTAAATTGCCATACAAGGCATTCCAAAGAGTTGTGGCTGTACAAAATGATCACTTTGCCTTCCGTCCAGAGACTTTGGTTCAATTTCTTTTCACCCATTTGTTAATACTCTTGAATGCTCCACAAGAACATCAAATTACATTTTTCCACAACAAACCTAATTCTCATCTCCCCCAAACTTGATCTTTTTTTATAGTTATTTCATTTTTGTCAGTACCACCACCATTCTTCCAGGCTGGAAACCTTGGCATTATTAGCCAAGCTTCAAATCCTGTTATTTCTTCTCTGTTTGTTTGTTACCTCTCTCTCTCCTCCAAGATACTCCTACAATCCAGGCCTCTTGACATCAGGTCTGGATTACTGCCTCCTATTGCATTTTTCTGACCCTATCTATTCCATGCAATAATAATTTAGAAATCTACAGATTAAACCTTGCTTAAACATTGCATTTATAGCATCAGTCTTTTGGTCACCACATTAAATCCATGCTGACATCTTCATTACCTCATCTTATTTCCCACAATTTGCAACACAGTTACAAAGGTTCTAGTTCTGTCATCACCCTGTCTCTTCCCTATTCCAGAATTAATCTCTGCTCTTGCCTGTTCATAGAAGATCTTCTCTTTCCCTTGTTAAAATTTGAAGTGTTCTCCAAGCTATAACTCAAATTCTATTTCCTTAATGAAAACTTTTCCAGCTTTGTCAGTCCACACAGATCTATGCCTTTTCTAAAAATAATTATTCTTATTTTTATCATTTTGTGCTTGTTCTAGGATTGTTCAAATATTTATTAGGTTCCTCAAATCATTCTGGGGTTAAGATAGGATGTGAATGTATGAATGAATAAAAATGATAAATAAAATATAGATTGGCTCTATTTTCCTAACCTGAATAAGCTCATCAAGTTAAACATTTTAAATTGTTGTATATATTATATAAATTTTATACTATAGTTATTTTTAAATCAATAACCTTAAGTAGCCAGTACTCATACTCCCACAAAACAAATCGTTTACATTAAGCATTAAGGCATAGCTGTGTAGCCTATTACAAAGCAAAGCAACACCAAACAAACTAACCAACCAGGCAAGCAATGAGTTTTGATAAAAATCTCAAATATATGTGAAATTTCTTATGCAGTTTTTGATAACTTAAAATTATCTCCTAATTTATTCTTCATTCTCTTTTTTCATTCTATCTCAATTACGTTTTTTGCATGTCCAGAAAATAAAATAATAAAGATGTAGTCACGGTAACTTCAACTAATCCTTACATTTTTATTCCTGTAGTATGGGTCCACATCTTCCAAGGGCTCTGACACCATTCCTCGAGGAAGATTTCCATAAACAAATGGAAGCTCTTTTCCTACTTCCAAGTCAGCGTTTGGCTTTAAATCTTGGTGTTCATCACTGTCCTTTTTAGCAATATGCTGTTTCATAAGTTCAAGAGACTCTCTTGTGAAGGGAACAAGGCTTTTAGGTTCTGGGGAAGCCATTTCCAATTTTGCACCTGTAAGAAATATATTTTCTTCAGTTCGACAAAATTTGGGTATATAAAGAAAAATTTAAAATTACAGAAGATTAGGATAGGAATAAAAAGAGAACAGAAAACTACATGCATTTAAAGATCATTCCTGAGTTTTGCAGAAATTCGAGTTGTTAAACTAGGTTTCGTTATACTTAATGTTAGATATGACTTGTAATTTCATGAGTAACTTATTCTGCTTCATTTACTCATTCATTGAATCCTCTTTCCTTTACTGAAATCTGCTTTTCAGTTTCTTGTAATGAAAGAGTTCTAAAGTCATTAAAGATTTTTGGGGGCCAAATCCAATCATTTCAGTCCAAGCTGTATTTAACCACTGACTAGACTTTTCTTCCCTAAACTTGGTCTTCATTGGCTCTGTGTCCCACTCTTCTGTATCTCTTCTTATAGCTCTCATTACTTCCCTTGACTCAATTCTTCTTCTCAACTTTTGACTTTGATATCCCTTATAGTTCAGCCTTTCTCTGTTATATCCATCTTTTTGGTGAATGCACAGGCAAAAACAGAGTTTCTATTATTGTATATGGATGTTTACCAAGTACATTTCCCTAAACACCCTCTTCCCTCATCATCTATGTGGCATTCCCACTAATGACAGCAATTTAAGAAGTAAAAATAAAACTAATTGTTTTTCCCAGTGACTAGCATCACTTTTTAACCGTCTAGCCATTATAAAAGCAAAAACTCAAGTACAAACTCATTACTTTAAAAATTGTTTATGAAACTTTTCTCTTTCTCATCAATTCCTCTGAACAAAATTATTTTCTTACAATTAATTTCTATTACGTACTAAAATGTTATCCATTGTTCAGGTATCTACATCAACGTAAGTAATCTTCAAAATTCTATATCTGGATTTCTGTAGTAGCCTTTACAAGTTTCTCTCGATTCTAGTCTTTACCTATTTCAAATCATCCTACAAGCCACTCAAATTTGTCTTCATTAAATATAATTTCATTCATCAATTCCCCATTCATGAACCTTATTCTTTCCTCTCACATAAAAATAGATTCTTCTCCTGATTTTCTCCAGCCCAATTCCTGGTAAAACTGACTCTTCAAGTGATTCGACTTATGGACAACTGACGGATTATTCTTTATTCATTTCCCTTAACCCTCTTTGTGATTTTATTATTGTGATTAAGGATAAGACATTTTGTGATTGATATTGTGGCATTCTGAATGTGTATATTTTGTCTGTTATAGTGCTGGCCTTAGCCGAATTCCTTCTCTAATATTTTCCTAAGACAGAAATAACACACTTATATGCACACACATATATTTTACTCAAGAATTTTCCACTGTTGAGTGAAATTGAGTTGTTGAATAGTTTAATCCATTACTTGTCTATTAATGAAAAGTAAGAAAAGATAAGTTAATTAATCTTAATAGAGTACCAATCATTGCAAGAATCACATTCCAACCACTAGCTTAAATAGATGGTGGGTGGAGGATATTTTAAATACACAAATGGCAATCTCATAGACGTTTAAGAGAGGATGCATAGTTTATTTCTGTGTTCTGGGCTAATACATATGGAAAATCAAGTACTGGAATGACTCTTTATGCCTTTCATGGGATCAAAGTTTTTCTGGCTTTTCATTTCTACTGCATTCTATCTGAAGAATGACTTCCTTTGCTTACTTCTATGAATGAACATAAAACAAAATGCCATCCCAGCCTCAACTTTGATTTTTCATTTTAAGTTCTCACCATATACCTATAACCTCTATCTCAAAAATGTAAATAAAAAGATTCTTTAATTGTTCTAGCCAAGCCTATGGATTCATTTCCCCTTGGCTCAGTCCTTTCTGACCAGAGAGAGGGACATTTTCACAACAGCACTGGCTGCTTATGCACAAATCCCTCAAAAAATTTTGCAGAGGTTGGGTGCAAAGCAATTTTAAAGAGAAAAATATGGAATAGGAAGATTAGCACATATCTACTTGGATCTCTCCTTCCAGACTAATGGTACAAAAACTAACAATTGCTCATCTTAAAATTTACTTATTTTCCAAATATCTTGCTCAATATCATGCACAAAACTAACACTTACTAAAAGTTTAAGAATTACTTATATATTCCATATGCACATACAAACACATATACAGTAATACCTCACATATCAAACTTCATTGAGTGGAGTCAAAATGCTTTTAATATGTGCAATTTATAAATATAAGCTACAGATAACTGAAGTTTGCACTTACATATGAAATCTCCTCCTTGTAAAATATTTAGTGAGCTTTCAAAATTGTATTCCTTACATAGGATTCCTTCAATATACATTAAATAGTTTCTTAATGACTCATTATAGGCTAGTGTAAACAAATTAAATCACGAATTATGGAATTAGATAGACTTACATTCAAATTCTAAATTCTGTTACTAATGTTCTGAGAGGTTTCAGTCAAATTACTTAATATTCTTGAAACTCTCATTCATAAAACTGGGATTTTTTCTTCAGGTTAAATAAGGATAAAATAAATAATATGGATAAAAATGCCTGGTACAGTGATTGACACATAATACGTGGGAAATAAATATATTTTTATATCTTAGAGTGATGGGTCAAATCTAATAAAATAATATATAATAGGCGTTCATGTAAGGTTTTGAAATTTGGACCAAAACAACCCAACTGCACAAGTGTGGTAAAAAAGGAGTTATGTTTTTGCAGCAGAGAAAATTGCCAAGGGGTTTTACTTAATAGTAATTGCAATATAAACCAATACTGGTTTGAGACTGCCAAGAAAGCTAATATAACCTTTGTCTGTATTGAAGGAAGATGAAGGAGGCAGTCTTTTCCTGTTCTGCTGTAACTCACGACCATATCCAAAAGACATGTATGTGCATGTATGTAAACTGGAGGGTCTTCAGATAGGAGCAGAATGTTGATTAGACTCAAATCACACCATCTATAGATCAGTTAAAGGAATGGAGGATATATTAGTTGAAGCAGAAAAGATTGAAGTAGAACATTATCGTTTCCAAGTATCTGAACTATTCTCATGTGGAAGAGAAATTAGACTTATATATTATTTATTTAAAAAAAAAGAGGAACTAGGATCAGGGAGCTAAAGCCAGAATAGATTTGGCTCAAGATAATAAGCGACTTTCTAAATAGCTGTCAAAAAATAGAATAAGTTGATTTGGACAGTAATTCTTCCCCGTAACTAGCAACGTGGAAGCATGGACTTGTTGACAGTTGGGTAGAATGATTTATATGGATCCAAACATTGATTGGTTGCAACCCTGTAATTTTAGAACTTTCCCATCTTAAAATCTATGGATTGAATTTTCACAGAGTATCACATGACCTAAAAATTTGGGCTAAATATTAGCTAAACTAAACCTATGCAGCATTGATAACACAACCAAAAGCAATTTACATCTACCTTTTCAGATTGCAATAAAAGTATTTCTTATATCTTGTATTTTTAGGGATTGATTCTAAATACTAACAAACATTATTAAGCTTATGTATGTAAAAAATATTATCCTTAGAAGTAGATACCAAGGGATGTTGCAAACTTATTACAAAAGTGCTGCCATTAATTAAAATATTCCTGGATACTTTCCAGTGAAACCTCAAAATTCAATTTGCCAGCCAGTCTCCTTACTGCATAGTCCAAAAATAATCTTGCTTTTTTTTTTCATCACTCCATAGCACAATGATCTTTGATTCTTCATTTTGCCACCTACTAGCTATGAGACCTAAATAGCATAGCATGAGTCATCTTTCCTCATATGTAAACTTTGGAATCCCTCATGTATCTTTCAAGGTCATAAAGATTAAAACAGATCATATACAAAAAGCCTAGACAATAGTACTGACTTTGTCAGTGCTAATTCTTTCTCCTAACCCATCAGTTATCCCAGAAGACTTCTTTAGTGATAAATCTGATGTTGAATGAAACCACTCTAGGTTGTTGACTAGGTGAATGAATGGATAGTGGGTGTTGTCTTCTATGATATGAAAAAGAAATGCAAGCACTTATCAAATGGAACTGGCTTGCATCAGATTTCTAGATGGCTGAGTGCAGATTGTAAATTATTAATCATTAAATCATAATTCAATAAATGCATTTCTGTGGGGAATTTATATAATATAGTTCAGGCACTATGCTTTCCGGTGAGTGATCTTAATACAGCGCTAAAGACTGAAAAATATAGAAAGATTAATAGTTAATCTGTCCATTAGAATGCCTTTCTAAAAAATCGAATAGCTAAAGTAAGTTTTTGGCAAGAATAGTATCAAAGTCAAAGTCATACTCTAACAAGTTCCAGTTATACTAATATTTTATATTGTTGATTAAAGTCCAAGCCATTTCTCTTGGACATAAGTTGAAAGTAGCAGAACCAGCATCAGTATGGGGAAAAGAGGTGCATTTTTATAGGAAAAATATTTTCTTTAAAACAAATTTCAAGCATTTGAGCACAAGCCGCCAATATTTATCATAATTATGGCAATTATAATTATGGGCACACTTACTGAGTGACTATCATTTGCAAGGCACTGGACTAGATGTTTCTAATTCTATTATCTCATATTCTCACATATCATCCTTGTGATCACCATTTTACAAACCAGGAAACAGAGATTGCTGAGTTTCATGACTTCTCCATCATTGTATACCTAGTTAAGTGGTGAAGATAAATGCTAACCAGGTTTGTCTAAATTTGAGTTCCTTTAAACTACACCACAAAAGTGCTTACAAGCTTTAAATTTTCTACAACTGTAAACAACTGATACCTCAGCATGGCTACTTTAGAGATATTCAAAAACCAACGGGCTTCCTGGGAAAAGTTATCCGCCAGTTTGCATCACTGAGTAGCTGACACGTTGATGTCAGGTGGGGCTGTCTGGAAAATTTCTTTATATCAATGTTGTCAAAGTCAAATATCTTGTAAAATTGAAGGTGAGCAAGCATAGTGGACATTAATTCGGAATGGAGGAAGTGC